AGTAAGTGTCTGAAGAAAAGCTCCCACGGTTGTCATCAGAGTTTGTGAAATTGTGCTTCAGAATCGGTTTTAGTAAGAAAGAAAGAAATGATTTTTCTTTAAGCTCATGAACACAGTGTGATGATAAGTGTTAGGCTGTACAAAAAGCTGCGGCTGGTAATGGACAGATGCGAGGTTATCGATGGTTACATCCTCGTGCAATAAAGAGGATGAATGTTGTATCACAAGACGGCTGATCAATTTGTTTCACTAACTCATCTAAATAAGGAATTTTCTTTAGCGGATATAGCGCATGTGGCAGCTTGTGTTCAAACAGTAATGTCCATATCAACAACATTTCTGTTGTGGCTCTAATACTCCGTCGTAGGATAAAGCCTCCCTCTCTCCTCTGCAGCTCAGTTACTTCATCTAACTGACTGATCAGCTGTCTGGTGTTCTGAAGCCTGTTTTCTCTCTGCAGGTATGGCAGGTCTGTCTGGGGCCGCCACCGCAGCCGTGGGTACTGTTGGAGGGGCTGTGGAGGATTTGTGGCTAGCTCTCATCTGAGACCAGGAAATTATGATAATCAGAAAGAAAAAAAAAATAGTAATAAATGACATATTTACTGCTGCCAATTGGAAACAGTTGCAATAGTATCAGCGTCATGCTTCAGAAAGCTTGGCTGAAACTCTAGTGCTGGTAATGCTGTGGTGTTTTATTACAAAACACATGAGACACGGTACAAATTGTGCAACTTTTAAATAAAGCCCTAATAATGAAAAGCATTTTAAAGTTGTGTTCTGGTTATTTTTATTATTTTGTTTATATTTTATTATTCTTACTGTATAAAATACAATACATTGATCATTATTTTTATGTAATTGAGTACCAAGGCTGACATACTTGCTTTTTATAACTGGCAGAAATAAGGCGATCATCAAAGCTTGAAGTGAAAACACAAAGTCATACACACTGATTGTCGCACATGATACAAATTCTACTTCTAAGCATAAATTATTTAGATTTTTTTTCACTGCATTATTACTACTGATAAGAAAGTGATATTTGCCATGCTGGTTATAAATAGTCTGCTAAAAAACTGATTAAAACTCATTTAAACTATGGGTAATGACGTCGTTGCATTTAATCATGCAAATCTCTCATGATTGAAATCAACGCATTTTTTGTTTTATTTTATTTTATGCTATATAGAACTTTCCTTCAGAGCTACGGTCACAAACACTGGTTTCTTTATTTTATACATGTGACCACTTCATAAACGAAACACAAAAATACAGATACAGTTTGTGTTGCTCTCTGTCGCCCTCGGTTGTTCAGCTCTGAACATAAGGTTTTGTTACTGAGGAAAGGAAACCTTGCTTGCTATAAAAATCAGCCCATTTCAGAGCAGACGCAGGACAGAGGAGCAGTGGCAGCTGGACGTGTGGTGGCTGTTTTGCAGTCAGCAGGTAAATAAATACTTAGATGTTTCATTAGGATTTTAACTTGTAACAAAGAAAAAGTTCATGAAAATATCATAATCTTAGATTAGATAATGACACTATGCTCTATCATTATAATAGTACATATAACAATGACATAATCAATGATCTAATTAATGATAACAATAACTGTGAATAATGATTCAGTTCATTTTAATTGTATTTATACAGCGCTAAATCACAACAACAGTTGCTGAGTAACTGAGTCCCAGGGCTGACATACTTGTTATACTTGCTATAGAAATAAAGCGATCACCAAAGCTTGAAGTGAAAACACAAAGTCGGACACACTCGAGTGTCGCACATGATACAAATTCTACTTGTAAGCACAAATTGTTTGGATTTTGTTTTATCAGTGCATTATATGCACTGATAACAAAGTGACATATTACCATCTGGTTATAAATTGATGGTCTGCCAAAAACTAATTTCTGACATTTAAACTGTTGTGAATGACACACTGGCGTTTAATCTGATGCAAATTTCTCATGAACGAAATCAAAAATTATTTATTTTATTTTATGCTATAAAGAACATTTCTTTCAGAAGCTACAGCCACAAAGACACTGGTTTCTTTATTTTATATATGTGACCACTTCATAAATCCTACTAACACCACGGCATTTACCAATATAAGCAAAGATAAGAAACACAAAAAGTGAGGAGAAATGACTCTTCAGTTTGTGTGGCTCTCTGTCGCCCTCTGTTTTTCAGCTGTGAACATAAAGTTTTGTTTCCGAGGAAAGGAAACCTTTCTTGCTATAAAAATCATCCCATTTCAGAGCAGACGCAGAGCAGATAAAGACATGGACCCCGGTGAGTCATTTGAGTTGCTGTGCATGAATCGTCTTTGATAAAAAAATTATGGAATGTTAATGTGTGTTCTTATGTTGTGTTGTAGTGACAGCTGTGTGCAGTGCTGCAGGAGCAGGTAAGCACTTTATTTAATTTTAACTCATTTGAATCAAAGCCTGATCCATGTCTGATCCATGTCTTCTTCCTGCAGTAGGTGCCGTAGTCGCTGCTCCTGCTCTTCTGGGAGCTGCTGGTTTCACCTCAGCAGGAATAGCTGCAGGCTCCTACGCTGCAAGCATGATGTCTGCAGCTGCTGTGGCCAATGGAGGAGGAGTGGCAGCAGGAAGTGCAGTGGCTGTTTTGCAGTCAGCAGGTAAAAATAAATAAATAAATATTTTACCAGCAATTACTCAAAAACCTTTATTATAAACCTGAAATATCCCAGAAACAATAACATGTGACTGTGCTGCAGTGAGGATAATACGACGGACTATTAGGTCCACGTAAAGAAAAATATTATCAATCATTTTGAGAATAAAGTCGAAATGTGGAGATTACAAGTGTCTGAAGAAAAGCTCCCACGGTTGCTACTGTATGTCATCAGAGTTTGTGAAATTGTGCTTCAGAATCGGTTTTAGTAAGAAAGAAAGAAATGATTTTTCTTTAAGCTCATGAACACAGTGTGATGATAAGTGTTAGGCTGTACAAAAAGCTGCGGCTGGTAATGGACAGATGCGAGGTTATCGATGGTTACATCCTCGTGCAATAAAGAGGATGAATGTTGTATCACAAGACGGCTGATCAATTTGTTTCACTAACTCATCTAAATAAGGAATTTTCTTTAGCGGATATAGCGCATGTGGCAGCTTGTGTTCAAACAGTAATGTCCATATCAACAACATTTCTGTTGTGGCTCTAATACTCCGTCGTAGGATAAAGCCTCCCTCTCTCCTCTGCAGCTCAGTTACTTCATCTAACTGCTTGATCAGCTGTCTGGTGTTCTGAAGCCTGTTTTCTCTCTGCAGGTATGGCAGGTCTGTCTGGGGCCGCCACCGCAGCCGTGGGTACTGTTGGAGGGGCTGTTGGAGGATTGGTGGCTGCTCTCATCTGAGACCAGGAAATTATGATAATCAGAAAGAAAAAAACAATAATAGTAATAAATGACATATTTACTGCTGCCAATTGGAAACAGTTGCAATAGTATCAGCGTCATGCTTCAGCAAAGCTTGGCTGAAACTTGCTTGCTGGTAATGCTGTGGTGTTTTATTACAAAACACATGGACACGGACAAATTGTGCAATTTTAAATAAAGCCCTAATAAAATACTGAAAAACGTTTTAAAGTTGTGTTTTGTTTATTTGCATTATTATGGTTATATGTTATTATTTATTTATGTATGTGTTATCTTAAAAAAATAAGACATGTATCATTATTTTTATATAACTGAGTCCCAAGGCTGACATACTTGCTATAAAAATAAAGCGATCACCAAAGCTTGAAGTGAAAACACAAAGTCGGACACACTCGAGTGTCGCACATGATACAAATTCTACTTGTAAGCACAAATTGTTTGGATTTTGTTTTATCAGTGCATTATTATGCACTGATAACAAAGTGACATATTACCATCTGGTTATAAATTGATGGTCTGCCAAAAACTAATTTCTGACATTTAAACTGTTGTGAATGACACACTGGCGTTTAATCTGATGCAAATTTCTCATGAACGAAATCAAAAATTATTTATTTTATTTTATGCTATAAAGAACATTTCTTTCAGACGCTACGGTCACAAACACTGGTTTCTTTATTTTATACATGTGACCACTTCATAAACGAAACACAAAAATACAGATACAGTTTGTGTTGCTCTCTGTCGCCCTCGGTTGTTCAGCTCTGAACATAAGGTTTTGTTACTGAGGAAAGGAAACCTTGCTTGCTATAAAAATCAGCCCATTTCAGAGCAGACGCAGGACAGAGGAGCAGTGGCAGCTGGACGTGTGGTGGCTGTTTTGCAGTCAGCAGGTAAATAAATACTTAGATGTTTCATTAGGATTTTAACTTGTAACAAAGAAAAAGTTCATGAAAATATCATAATCTTAGATTAGATAATGACACTATGCTCTATCATTATAATAGTACATATAACAATGACATAATCAATGATCTAATTAATGATAACAATAACTGTGAATAATGATTCAGTTCATTTTAATTGTATTTATACAGCGCTAAATCACAACAACAGTTGCTGAGTAACTGAGTCCCAGGGCTGACATACTTGTTATACTTGCTATAGAAATAAAGCGATCACCAAAGCTTGAAGTGAAAACACAAAGTCGGACACACTCGAGTGTCGCACATGATACAAATTCTACTTGTAAGCACAAATTGTTTGGATTTTGTTTTATCAGTGCATAATAATGCACTGATAACAAAGTGACATATTACCATCTGGTTATAAATTGATGGTCTGCCAAAAACTAATTTCTGACATTTAAACTGTTGTGAATGACACAGTGGCGTTTAATCTGATGCAAATTTCTCATGAACGAAATCAAAAATTATTTATTTTATTTTATGCTATAAAGAACATTTCTTTCAGAAGCTACAGCCACAAAGACACTGGTTTCTTTATTTTATACATGTGACCACTTCATAAATCCTACTAACACCACGGCATTTACCAATATAAGCAAAGATAAGAAACACAAAAAGTGAGGAGAAATGACTCTTCAGTTTGTGTGGCTCTCTGTCGCCCTCTGTTTTTCAGCTGTGAACATAAAGTTTTGTTTCCGAGGAAAGGAAACCTTTCTTGCTATAAAAATCACCCATTTCAGAGCAGAAACAGGGCAGATAAAGACATGGACCCCGGTGAGTCATTTGAGTTGCTGTGCATGAATCGTCTTTGATAAAAAAAAGGAAAGATGTTAATGTGTGTTCTTATGTTGTGTTGTAGTGACAGCTGTGTGCAGTGCTGCAGGAGCAGGTAAGCACTTTATTTAATTTTAACTCATTTGAATCAAAGCCCTGATCCATGTCTGATCCATGTCTTCTTCCTGCAGTAGGTGCCGTAGTCGCTGCTCCTGCTCTTCTGGGAGCTGCTGGTTTCACCTCAGCAGGAATAGCTGCAGGCTCCTACGCTGCAAGCATGATGTCTGCGCTGCTGTGCAATGGAGGAGGAGTGGCAGCAGGAAGTGGTGGCTGTTTTGCAGTCAGCAGGTAAAATAAATAAATAAATATTTTACCAGCAATTACTCAAAAACCTTTATTATAAACCTGAAATATCCCAGAAACAATAACATGTGACTGTGCTGCAGTGAGGATAATACGACGGACTATTAGGTCCACGTAAAGAAAAATATTATCAATCATTTTGAGAATAAAGTCGAAATGTGGAGATTACAAGTGTCTGAAGAAAAGCTCCCACGGTTGCTACTGTATGTCATCAGAGTTTGTGAAATTGTGCTTCAGAATCGGTTTTAGTAAGAAAGAAAGAAATGATTTTTCTTTAAGCTCATGAACACAGTGTGATGATAAGTGTTAGGCTGTACAAAAAGCTGCGGCTGGTAATGGACAGATGCGAGGTTATCGATGGTTACATCCTCGTGCAATAAAGAGGATGAATGTTGTATCACAAGACGGCTGATCAATTTGTTTCACTAACTCATCTAAATAAGGAATTTTCTTTAGCGGATATAGCGCATGTGGCAGCTTGTGTTCAAACAGTAATGTCCATATCAACAACATTTCTGTTGTGGCTCTAATACTCCGTCGTAGGATAAAGCCTCCCTCTCTCCTCTGCAGCTCAGTTACTTCATCTAACTGCTTGATCAGCTGTCTGGTGTTCTGAAGCCTGTTTTCTCTCTGCAGGTATGGCAGGTCTGTCTGGGGCCGCCACCGCAGCCGTGGGTACTGTTGGAGGGGCTGTTGGAGGATTGGTGGCTGCTCTCATCTGAGACCAGGAAATTATGATAATCAGAAAGAAAAAAACAATAATAGTAATAAATGACATATTTACTGCTGCCAATTGGAAACAGTTGCAATAGTATCAGCGTCATGCTTCAGCAAAGCTTGGCTGAAACTTGCTTGCTGGTAATGCTGTGGTGTTTTATTACAAAACACATGGACACGGACAAATTGTGCAATTTTAAATAAAGCCCTAATAAAATACTGAAAAACGTTTTAAAGTTGTGTTTTGTTTATTTGCATTATTATGGTTATATGTTATTATTTATTTATGTATGTGTTATCTTAAAAAAATAAGACATGTATCATTATTTTTATATAACTGAGTCCCAAGGCTGACATACTTGCTATAAAAATAAAGCGATCACCAAAGCTTGAAGTGAAAACACAAAGTTGGACACACTGAGTGTTGCACATGATACAAATTCTACCTGTAAGCATAAATTTTGAGATTTTATTTTTTACTGCATTATTATGACTGATAACAAAGTGACATATTACCATCTGGTTATAAATTGATGGTCTGCCAAAAACTAATTTCGACATTTAAACTGTTGTGAATGACACACTGGCGTTTAATCTGATGCAAATTTCTCATGAACGAAATCAAAAATTATTTATTTTATTTTATGCTATAAAGAACATTTCTTTCAGACGCTACGGTCACAAACACTGGTTTCTTTATTTTATACATGTGACCACTTCATAAACGAAACACAAAAATACAGATACAGTTTGTGTTGCTCTCTGTCGCCCTCGGTTGTTCAGCTCTGAACATAAGGTTTTGTTACTGAGGAAAGGAAACCTTGCTTGCTATAAAAATCAGCCCATTTCAGAGCAGACGCAGGACAGAGGAGCAGTGGCAGCTGGACGTGTGGTGGCTGTTTTGCAGTCAGCAGGTAAATAAATACTTAGATGTTTCATTAGGATTTTAACTTGTAACAAAGAAAAAGTTCATGAAAATATCATAATCTTAGATTAGATAATGACACTATGCTCTATCATTATAATAGTACATATAACAATGACATAATCAATGATCTAATTAATGATAACAATAACTGTGAATAATGATTCAGTTCATTTTAATTGTATTTATACAGCGCTAAATCACAACAACAGTTGCTGAGTAACTGAGTCCCAGGGCTGACATACTTGTTATACTTGCTATAGAAATAAAGCGATCACCAAAGCTTGAAGTGAAAACACAAAGTCGGACACACTCGAGTGTCGCACATGATACAAATTCTACTTGTAAGCACAAATTGTTTGGATTTTGTTTTATCAGTGCATAATAATGCACTGATAACAAAGTGACATATTACCATCTGGTTATAAATTGATGGTCTGCCAAAAACTAATTTCTGACATTTAAACTGTTGTGAATGACACAGTGGCGTTTAATCTGATGCAAATTTCTCATGAACGAAATCAAAAATTATTTATTTTATTTTATGCTATAAAGAACATTTCTTTCAGAAGCTACAGCACAGCACTGTCTTATTAACATGTGACCTCATCCAACCAGGCATACATATGCAGAACTTTCATAAATCAAATTTTTGTATGAAATCTTTCAGAGCTACAAACACTGTTCTTATTATATGTGACCACTTCATAAATCCTACTAACACCACGGCATTTACCAATATAAGCAAAGATAAGAAACACAAAAAGTGAGGAGAAATGACTCTTCAGTTTGTGTGCTCTCTGTCGCCCTCTGTTTTTCAGCTGTGAACATAAAGTTTTGTTTCCGAGGAAAGGAAACCTTTCTTGCTATAAAAATCAGCCCATTTCAGAGCAGAAACAGGGCAGATAAAGACATGGACCCCGGTGAGTCATTTGAGTTGCTGTGCATGAATCGTCTTTGATAAAAAAAAGGGAAAAAGATGTTAATGTGTGTTCTTATGTTGTGTTGTAGTGACAGCTGTGTGCAGTGCTGCAGGAGCAGGTAAGCACTTTATTCAATTTTAACTCATTTGAATCAAAGCCCGATCCATGTCTGATCCATGTCTTCTTCCTGCAGTAGGTGCCGTAGTCGCTGCTCCTGCTCTTCTGGGAGCTGCTGGTTTCACCTCAGCAGGAATAGCTGCAGGCTCCTACGCTGCAAGCATGATGTCGTCTGCTGCAGTTGCTAACGGAGGAGGAGTGGCAGCTGGAAGTGTGGTGGCTGCTTTGCAGTCAGCAGGTAAATAAATAATTAGACGTTTTATTCGGATTTTAACTTGCAACAACATGCAAAAAGACAATTTTCATGAAAATATCACAATGACATCATCACTGAAATCATTAATGATAACGATAACTGTGAATAATGACGATGATAATGATTCAGTACACTGTGATATCAGCAGGACTGAAGTTATATAGGCACAAAGTATAAGTATTTCTCAGCTTCTTTGTGTCATGGTGCTGCAGGTGCAGCTGGTCTGTCAGCTACTGCTGGTGCTGCTGTGGCTGGTGCTGGAGCAGCAGTGGGATGGCTGGCGAGTTTCATCAGCTGAAAATCATGAAGAACTCATATATTTGCTTTACCCATCTTTTTATGCCTAAAGACGAATAAAAATACTTAAGAAAAAAATCCTGATTGAAGTTGTCATAATTCATGCATGAAAGGCTTAAGTATTACATTAATAAAAAGATTTAAACTCCAGGTGATCTCAGCAATAATATTGTTTTTTAGCCGTTTGTAATACTAACTGTATTCTTAAACTTATATATAACAAGGACAACACAAGTTCTTACAGATAGACGACTGATGAGGCAGGTTTAAGAGTGCAGTCAGAAATGAACATGACTGCCATGTGTTATGTGTTTAGTTTATCTCTCTTTAAGTTTACAGTTAAAAGGAAGCCATTTTATCCAAAAAATCCAAATCCAATTTAAAAACAGAAGGTTTCCCCAAAGTGCTGTACAGAAACAAAAGGGTGAAACACAAGATAAAACCTCTGACACTCACATTGAAGCATAATAATATACATAATGAACATATCAACTCACACCAGTCTAGATGCTATCGAAAAAAGGTGTGTTTTCAAAAGCGACTTAAAAACAGGAAACGAAGATGCCTGTCTAATATTTAAAGGCAGCGTATTCCAAAGTTTGGGGGCCATAATTGAAAAGGCTCGTTCTCCTCTACGTTTTAGCCTAGATTTTGGGACAACCAACAGCTGCTGGTCAGCTTTTAATGTCACCTCACAGATTATCATCATCATGATTACAGCAACTGTTAGCGTGTTTATTAATTCACCTTGAGAACTCAAAGCCAAAACATTTCCTCTTTTGATAAATGTATTTGTTCAAGGTTCAAGGGTTCAAGGTTCAAGGTTCTTTATTTGTCACATGCATAGTTATACAAGTATAACACACAGTGAAATGTAGCCTGACACGCTCCTCGACATGTGCAAAAATAT